TTATATTCCGCCCTTCTCACCCCGCAGGGGACTCAGGGCGGATTACAGTATACACATATATGGCAAACATTCAATGCCAATTTTAACATACAACATATACAGACATACACAGAGGCTATTTAACTTTTTCTGGCCGCCAGGGAAGCTGTCACTTTAATCATCCATCTGCAATGCTGATGAAGCACTTCCGCATTCCCGCATGCTTCCCCGCTGGAATGCTTTGCTGGAGTCTTCTTTATGGCCTCCTAAATCAGTTAATTTAGCCTCCCCACACTTTAAGGTGGTACCTAATTTTCCTACTTGACAGATGCAACTGTCTTTCGGGTTGCAAAGGTCGACAACAGGCTACACACAATTGGTTGGAAACCCACTCAAACCCGGGCTGGCTTTGAACTCATGACCTTTTGGTCAGAGTGATCTCAATGCAGCTGACACTCAGCCAGCTGCGCCACAATCCTGGTGCCCAGTTCTGGGTAGCTCTTGGTTCAAATCTGGGAGTCCCTGACTGCTATATAAAACAAGGCATTAGGGAAAATGATTTCTGCAAGTGTTGGGAAATTCCAAGAAAAGCAGTCTGTTTGTGGCATAGGCCAACAATTCCATCTTAACTTGCTCTGAGAAAGTATGGCATTTGAAATACCTGGCCCATATCCACTTGGATACCTCTGGTCTACCTCCTGGGAAGGGGGGTGCTAACAGCTTGAGCGTTTTGAATAAATACAGGCCTTGAGTGGACTAAAAATCCAAAAGCCAAGGAGTGGCAGCATGGAGAAAAAAAATAAGACAGCCGAGATACAAAGGAGAGACCTAGCTTCCCTAAGAAGTTAGAGCCAAGAGAGAGACAAAAGGGAGCCCTGTTAGGTAGTCAAAAGCTTTATCACAGGTATTACATTACACAGGAAGGCTTTGGATTAATCCAAAATCCAGGATCAACACTGATAGAGAACTTGGCAAGACACAGGAAGAAAAGGGAATGAAGGATGGCCATGGGAACATTTTGGGGGGAGAGGCTGGCAGCATAAAGAAGGGCAGTCTTCTTGCTTTTGCCTGATCAGACTGGAGGCTCTGGGAAGGGGCCTATCTAGAAGAATTTGAATGAAGTGAAGCCAATAAAAACAGAACACCTGAAACCTGCCACAAGAAATTGCAGAGCAAAGGGCTCTTGTTCAGGGTTCTAGACAGCAGCGGTTTCTCCCCAAAGACTCAATTCCCAGTCCCACACCAGTCCCCAAAGAGTCAGTTCCTGTTCTCTGGCCAACAAATAGGAGGGCGCATATTCACTCAGATTAGTTCAGGGTCAGAAAATGTAGAGCTTGTGTTCAAGTGAGGGCTCCACAATGCTATGACAGACACTTCCAGCTAAATTAGGCCTGCTAGAGCCACTGTGGGTTAGGATGGGCTGGGGGACTGGCTCTCCATTGCTGCTCCTCTATCTCCTCATCATCAGCTATGCTAGCAAGAGTTGATGGGAGTGACAGCCAGCAATAACCAAAGACCCCAAACCTACAGATCCAATCACTCCTTCGCATAGTTTATACCTGAACTAGATGGAGTTGTGGCCTTACTTTGTCCAGAGGCAGCTTTTTAAAGAAAACAGCACTTCAAGCCCGACCGCCCTGTGGTCTCCCAAGGAGCTGGATGGGATTTAGAAGCTTCTGAAACTGCAGATGCCAAAATGAACTGGGGCATGAAATTAATTTCAACTTGGCCCTGTTAAAATACACAAACATTTAACATCCAGGCGGCGGGATGTGGATCAAAAGGCTATACTGTGCACAGAACCAAAAAACTAGCAAACAAGCAAAACCACAAAAAGCTTGGAGGGGGTGGGGGAGAATAAAAACTGGGTTCAAGGTTTTTTTTTTCCTTAGAAAAGGATATCTGTCAGCACATACCATGGCCAAAAACAAACACTGTGGTATACCTTATTTTAGGGAGGCGTACATGAAGGAGCTTTCCTGGCTTGAAAGGCTCCCTTGCACTGCATTTCATGCCTTAAACAATGTCACAGTGCAGCATGATTATGAAAGTGAGCTATACATTAAGAACAACTTTGGTTCAAATTTGGCCACAACCACAAACAGCAAATCACAGCTTCCATTTAAGGACCGGTATGGGAATAACACTGGCTTACTACCTTGTAGGGTTGTTGCACAAAGTCATATATTTATTTCATTCATTTCTACATTTATGATAAAATTAAATTCAGTGTGGGCTATGAATAAAAATGTAAATTACAATAAATCAAAAGCAATTATAACAAAAAACAAAACAAAGTAAAAACAGCTGGAACCATGTAATATTAGCAAGAGCAGACTAAAATGTGTGTGAAGTGATTTAAAGAGATCAAAAAAGAGCTTCCTGCAGTGATTACTTTAGAGAAGTGCAGTAATGGTTAGTTTGTTTAGACTGAGCAGATAAAAACAAACTTCTTGTAAATATCAAATGAGTCCTCCTGGGGAGACTGGGTGGCCTATAAATAAAGATTATCATCATCATCATCATCATCATCATCATCATCATCATCATCATCATCATCATTAATTGGTCAGGTGACATACTGTACTTATTTTAAAAACCTGAAGACAACCAAGTATCATCTAAAAATGGCATTTTTAAGACATGGAGAAAATACCTTTTACAAAATAAAAATGTAAAAACAGTGAAGTTTGAGAAACTATATTGACTGCCCCTCCCCAATCTGCATATCTACCAGATTTTCTTGTTGCTGGGTTTCGGTTTGTTTTAACTATGTAGTTCATAATTATCATTACCTGTGGAATGCCTGCACAGTTGTTGTTCTGGTACTTTTAAATTGAGTCGCCTACAATGGCACAGTTGAGCAGTCAGAGGTATTGGAAACAAAGATCTATGAGGAGAGGCTAAGAGAGCTGGGTATTTTAGCTTGGAGAAAGAAGACTGAGAGGGACATAATAGCCATGCTTAAATATTAGAACAGATGTCATATTGAGAGGGAACAAGCTTGTTTTCTGCTGCTCTGGAGACTACAACACAATGGAGCCATGGATTTAAATGGCAGGAAAAGAGATTTCACCTAAACATTAGGAATAACATCGTGAGGGAAATAGCTGTTTGGCAGTGGAATATGCCACTGCCTCAGAGAGTGGTGACGTCTTCTTCTGTGGAGGTTTTAAAGTAGAGGCTGGATGGCCATATGTTGGGAGAATTTTGATGGGGTATTCTTGTATGGAAGGGGTTGGACTGGATGACCCTTGTGGTGTCTTCCAACTCTGTGATTCTACCCAGAGTGAACACATTAGAGTATTGTTATGGGGCAGCTATGATTTAACTGCTGTACATTGGGGGAAAAAAGGTTGGGTAGGAACACCACCTTCTTGCAGCCTCCATTATTCTGAGAGAAAGCTGTAGTTTTATACCTTTATGGTCTCTTCTAACTCTATAAATCTATGATTCTATAATTCTACAATTGCAAGCGTTGGGACTGTGAGTAAGGGAAAAGTAGTAGATTGACCTTTGGGGTGGCATTTCTTAGCACATCTACATCTTTCATTCCCTTTTGGTTCGTCATGCCAAATTTCATCTGTGCAGGACCATCAGCACCGATGCAGCAGTCAGTTCCAGTTGCATCTCTTCCTACACTGGCTTGGCTGAAAACTTCCAGACAGCATTCCAAGCTGAGGGAAAATCAAGCTTGCTGTGCCTATTCTTCCAGTGATAGCATTATCTTTTCCCCTCTTTGCGGTGTCTGAGCAGGGAAGTATGGACCTCCAAAGAGGAGCTTATATATTTCCTCACTGTGTGCACTTCTCAATTTGTTAGAGAAGGTAAATCTGTAGAAAACACACAAGGCTACCAAATGGGAGAGAAGTGCAAACCAGTATTTTGTCTCTAATACCTGCCGGTGTACACTCTCAAAAGGATCAGCAGGTCCCTTGATAGTAAGTTTAGGAATAGATAGTGTTCTATATCCAGATTTCTAATTTCTGATGAGTCATACTTCTCTACCATTCCTCACTTCTCATCCAGAGAAAACACACTCCTTGTATATTTGGGAACCGACCAAAGCATGTCAGATTCAAAATAGATACACCCCGACCACAAATCAAAGGTTGATAGAAAGAACAGCATAACAAATTATGCAGAGAAGCAGCTAGAGTTTTGAGGTGATAGAAGAGAGGTGTTTTGAAGTCTTAGGAACATTTAACTATAATGAATCCATTTTGGCAACTTGTAGTTTGGGAATTCCTGGGCTCTACAAGGCCATATGGAAGTTGTTGCTATTGGGTGTTTTTTTTAACACTTGTTCTTCAAACCTGACAACTTCTTACAATTAGCTCTAGAAACGCATGTTACAGATGGATAAAATCCCTCAAGTATTCAGCGGACAAAGTGATAAAATGAACCGTACTGCTTCCTAGTGCAAACGAAGAGAACATTTTTGAATTTTAAAGATGAAAAGTGTACTGCAGAGGACAAAGTGAAGATTTGTAAACCAATGGTCGCCACGACAACACACTTCAGAGAAGCCTATATCCCCACCTGAGGAAAGAGCCAGGCATTTCCAAACCCACTCTGAATTTACAACAGGTACTTGGCTTAGGCACCAAGGAAGAAGTACATAACCCAGATAGTGGGATTGCATACAGATTGTGACAGAAAAAATGCAGGTGGTTCCCTGCCCCCTAAATACATGGACACATAAGTGCTCCAACATTCCGTCTTCCTTTGTTTTAACATCTATCCCTGCCATCCCTCCAGCAAGAAACCACATCACTTGGTTACTGTCTCTCGTTAGCTCCACATGATGAACTACTTCAGACATTTTGTTGCTTCCAGCCACACAAGTAGGAAAGCTGTCCTCTCTCAATTCCTCTCTTGGCAGGAACAGAAGAGAACTGAGGCAAGAAGGGCAAAGAGTCACTTTCCCCTGACTTAGCCTTGCTCATGCACTGACATCCGAAAGAAAGGTGGGAAGCAGGTGGAGAGAGAGAAAGAAGACTGTACTGCCACATACTTACATTTTAATGTTCTCATGGTATTGCCTCGTGTCTGAAGGCTGGTTGTACAGCGGCTGAAATGGAAAAAAGCGAAACTGAAATTGCAGCAGGGGCTGGCATTTTGGAGTCAAGATGGGCTATTAAGAATCTGCATCAGTTATAAGGGCTGGTTTTTGAGAGCTGGAGGTTACAATGCCCCTAGAACCCCCAAAACTGGTATCAAGGGCCGACTAAGGCCACTGCCAAACCTTTCTGACTCCAGCCCCTATGCTGCTCCTGCTCTCTATTCCATTTTCTTTTTCTTTCAAAAATGCTGCTTTGCTTGAGTCACCACAGAACTGAAAATACTGTGTTCCAAAGCAAGCCGTTTTAGAAACAAGCAATTCGTAATACAGTTCCTCTGAAGCCCACATGCGACACAGCAAAGCGTAGCAAACAGAAGAGAGCAGACTGTTATTTGCTTTATCATGGAAGGAAAGATGAAAGCCACACACCTGGGAACTCAGGGCACAGAGCTGAGGTTAGGATGGCCTCGGTAGCAGAACATACGGCTCTCATGCAGAAAGACCCAAATTCAGTCCCCAGCATTTTCCTGTTAAACAATCTCTCACATAGTACAGAAGGAAATGATAGGACTAACAGGTTGCCTTTCAGAGTGTCAAAATATCTTAGTCAGGAATGATGGGGACTGTTGTCAAAGACATTTGAAGAGCACCAGATTTACTCAGAAATGAGAAGACAGCCATGTCTACACAGGTCAGATAGTGTGGACTTGCCTCTCAGCTGCTGTGGGGAGTTCACATGAGGCATGGCTGGGTTAGCAGCAGAAGCATTATGGAATTTATTCTATTGCTAGTTAGAACAAAACAATACTGAGTGAGGGGGGCAGAATTTTTGAATTGGAAACAACCTCAAGGACCATCTAGTGCGACACCCTGCTATGCAGAAATAAAGCACTCATTAGAGATGCTTATCTAGCCTGTGTTCCAGCAAAGAGTCCACCACCCTCTGAAGCAGACCATTCCAATATAAAATTGCTCTTGCTATCAGGGAGTGCTTCCTAATGACTAGGTGGAATCTCTTTTCTTTTTATTGCAATCCTAGGCCATCTCTACATGGATCAAATAAAATAAAGTCAGAGCGAATCCATTATAAGCAGTCCACATGATAGATGGGACAATTTCATGGCAGCAATGCTGCTTCCAGCTATTCATCTGGCACAAGAAGAAGCACAAACTCAGGAGTTTCTAAATATTGCAGTGTACATCCAGGTGGCTCTGATGCTTCTGAATTGTGGACAGCTGGATTGGGCTGGATCCGGGGCTATATCTTGGCAATAGCCATTACTCAGTTGTTTTTACATAGAAACACAAAAATAAGGCCAACATACTCCCACTGTAAAGTGAGAAATTATCCAGGGTAAGAAGTCTAATCCATTCTCAAAAGAGAGAGGGAGTATGAAGTCAGATGTCTTTCTAGTTCAGTGGTTCTCAACCTGTGGGTCCCCAGGTGTTTTGGCCCACAACTCCCAGAAATCCCAGCCAGTTTATCAGCTGTTAGGATTTCTGGAAGTTGAAGGCCAAAACATCTGGGGACCCACAGGTTGAGAACCACTGTTCTAGTCTGTATTACTTTGACACCCGTGCGCGAAACACAGGTCAGCCTGCCTTTGAACAAAGAAGAAAAAGCAGCACGAACCAGAGCAATCTTACCCACTGCTTACCTACAATATACAGAGACATTCCACATGGTATTCAATTGAAGGCAAGGGTAAAACCTGTAGCGTAAGCCATCTACACAAGTTCCCTCAAGGCCATAACTTAATCCACAAATTAATTTCATTGTGATGGCTTTAATTTAATTTTGTAAATGACATGCACTGAAACTTTGCTTTCTACATCTGCCTGCCACCTCAGAAGGAGGAGGAAATCATGCTTCTCTCCCCCCTCCTGCCCTCAAGCCAGCTAAGAGGAGAAAGGGGACTGAGGAAGGGACTTTGAAAACACCTGTCTCCTGATTGTTGCTTATTATTTCTGTTGTGGTTTTATATTGTATTTAATGTTTTTATGTGCATTTTGATATTATGTATATTACTTGTTGCCTGTAAACCGCCTTGAGTCGCCGAAAGGCTGAGAAAGGCGGTATACAAATACAGTAAATAAATAAATAAATAAATAAACTTCTTCTGAATAGAACAGGACCCTCCCATTTGTGAATGCTGCTTACCATCACGGGATTTGCAGAGGCATGTTCCTTCTGCTCCTAAGAGACGTAAAAAAACCCCTACTTTCTACCCTCTAATTTTAAATATAAATATGACTATATCCTTAGTAGCCAATCATAAAAAGCAAGACTTCATGGCACCCCACCTCAAACCTAGGAGTGAAAAATAATCATTCTTAGAAATGTAATCATGCAAGTGATCTCTGATTGCTGGCAGACTGTTCAATCTCTGCAGCTTCCTCCACCGGCACCAAGTTAGCAAAGCATATCAAAGTCAAGGAAGGCTTCCTTGCTGATCTCGTAACCATACACATGTCTGGAGTGAATCTTGCACCCCAAACATTTGGGGGCCCTCCAACACTCCAAAGCAGGCATCACCCTCCAACTGTTTTCACATCCCACTACCAGAAGCCCTAGTAAGCTTGTTCAATAGTCAGGAATTCTGGGAGTTAGAGGCCAAAACAGCTAGAGGGTCAAAGTTTGGAGATGCCTGTTCCAAAGTGTTAAGATAAGGATAGGCAGAATGAAAAGCCGAATAACTTGACAACAGAGAGAGGGTTTCTCAAGGAAGTGTAACAAGACTTACCAACTCCACCTGAGGTCCAAGCCCTTCCAGTATTCTGTGGGCAGCTTCTGCTTTTTTCTGGAAATAAAAGAGGAGGAAAACACATAAATACATAAGTTGTGTGGGGAATGGACAAGCATACATTTATTTCTTACAATTCCAACTGTTGCTATCCCCGTCCTCCATGGTGCACACTTCAATTTCTCAAAAAAATGAATCTCACTTTTCTTCTCCCTTCTCCTGAACAGGAAAGAGAAAGTGTAGAAAAAAGAGAGAGCACAGGAAGAACTCTTCCATGACACAGTCTCACTGGTTGGGAATGACAACGTTGAGTAGCTGCCAAGTTGAAAAGCAAAGCAAGGGGGAGCTCCACCCTCACATTCCCTTCAAAGACTTGGCAAGCAAGGAAAATGAATTTGGGAGTGGAATGAGAGGGAATGCCTAGGATGCACTTTGCTCTTGGTTGCTGGCAACTCCCTCCCCACCCCACCCCCCACCCCATGACTTTTCTTTCACTTTCTAGCATTTGCTGTACAGTTGCCCCACTGGCTGTCCAAGGATGGAGAACCCCAGGGAGATAAGGAGAGTTAACAGTATGATCTATCAGGCTCCTTTCTCTGACTCAGATCTCCTTGGAACTTGAGATTGTTTTATTAGCACAACTACCCCAAGGCCTTTCTTCTCGTTCCTCCCAAATCATTCGCCGCTCTCCCCTTTTGGCTTCTTGTGCAGGAATACGTATTAACCACACACCTGCACGTGCATAAGGGCCATATGTCAGACTCAGAACAGGGTTACAAAGAGGCATGCACCATGGTAGTGAAGAGTCCAAATAAAAGGTGAGCTTTCCAGTAAAATGGAGAGCTTCCCTAAATGGCAGCACTCAAGATAAATCCACTAATAAAAAGTCACAGATGGATAGAAAGTAAAAGGCAGGCAGGCAGGCCCAACAATGGGAGGTGAGGTAATCAACAGAAATGCTAGAAGTTGGGGAGGCAGTCGACTGCATCTCTGGGTGCTTGCTGTCCTGTAGCCGCCTTTCCCTGTCTAGGTCAAAAAGTGCTCCCAGGGTAGTTACAGGCTGGCTGAGGTATGGATGCTGCCACATTTTAATACTTATTACAAGTATTAATAATCCATAGTAATACTTGTATGATGTCTGTTTTATGGTTATTATAGGAAAGAAGCTATTGCTCAGCAGGTGAGCACATGCTCTCTATTTGGAAAGTCCCAGGTTCAGTTTTTAGCGTCTCAGAAAAAGAGCTGTGAAAGATTCCAGCCTGGACCCCAGACAGCCACTGCTTTAAGTTTTCAGTGAGAAGACCTAGCCAGGGGAACCCATCCTTCCTATCCCTGCCCTTCATTTGACTAGTATCCAAATCAATAGCTAGGCCTTGTGCAAAAAAAAAAAAAAAAAAAAGGGGGGGGGGAGGATGAGCTATCAGAGTCAAGATATGGGTTATAAGCTGTGAAAAGTTTGGATCCACGTTCTACCTCCTTCTTTATAATGAATGAAAAAACATTAGAAGCATTCTTAGTTTGCAGCAGACAATACTATGTCTTATTATGGAGTTCAAGACACACTGAGCCTATATGAGTGCCTGGAGGACAACAACCCAGCTCGGCTCCCAACATTTTTACAACAATAGCTTCACCACTGACTGTCCTACTTTGATCAGGAAGGGCTGAGGTGGAGCAAGGCTGCTGGGAGCAGAGCAAGACTGTGGAGGGGAAGAAGAAGCGCCAGGTGTCTTGGTGGAGGCAGCGTGCAGATCCCTGTGCCCTCCACATGCTTTATCTCCAAGCCATTATTCAAAACCCCAACAAAGCTATGGCCTCTTCATCCATCCAAATGCAATACAGTATGGCTTCAGCAAAAAAAACTTCCACTTTCGATTGAAAAAGTAAGCTGTGGTTTGTTCCAAATTAGCTCCGTCTCCAGCTACTTGTATATAAAGGGAGAGGAAGGGGTATAGAGAGTGCTACCACTTTCTTTGTGTGACAAACCGTAACTCTTAATGGTGTCAATGGTCCTTCCCAATGACTTACAATCTAATGAACAAAATAGAAGGAAGGAAAGGCGGGAAAGAGAGCAAGCCAAGAAAAACAAATTATAGTCATGTTTGAGGGAAGGGATCTTATGAGAAACAATTTAGACTGTCAATCAGAGAAATGGTGGGCCTTTCATGGTACAGCGGAAAGTTAACATCTTCCCAGATGGAACAAATGTAACCCTTTGAAAGAGTACCGAACCAAGTAGTCTTAAGTTCAAATCTCAAAATCTCACCTCAAGCCATCATACATATATATCCCAACCATCTGCAATGCAGGCTAATCATTCTATATTATCTGGCAAGGTGGTTGCATGAATTGCTGAGTAAAACAAACACACACTGTGCTTTGAACTCTGTAAAGTATGCTACAAGTAAGAGCCTCTGTGATGGATCAAAAAAGGCAGGCCAAAGACGTCAGTCAGTTCCAGCAATCTACCTCTCGACAGCAGTTGGCCAACATTGCCACCCACTGGAACTTAAGGTTTCTAGTTATTTTTGGTGGCAGGAAAAATGTTGGCTATTGATTTAGACAAAAAAAAATCAGAGAGATTCTCTTCTCCTATTCAACATTATTTAGAATTCAATGTTAACTAAACATTCAGAACCAGAATGATGCTATGGTTTAAGTGTTGGACCAGAGAATGGTTCAAATTGCCATTCAACCATGGAAACCCCTGGGTGAACTTGAGCAAATCACACTCTCTCAACCTCCTCAGATGAAGGCAATGGAAAATCCCCTCTGATTTTCCAAGGGAGAGGCTTACGTTGCCCTAAATTGGAAAATAGTGTGAAGGCACACAACAATAACACTGGAGACCTCAGAATGCCTACATTAAGGACATCTCTTCAAGAAAGAGATGGGAAAAAACCTTTATTGTAGTAATAATGCAAATGTGAGTTGCCCCAACTGCACTATAGCACTAATATCATTCATCCAGACAAAACTTTTGTTACATCATGGCACCCACTGAAAATAAATGAAGCAGTCTTGCCAGGCAAACATATGTAGCTATATAGCTTTGCTTTGGGACAAAATTAAGGGCTGTCCGGTACCTGAAGCTTTTTCTCTGTTCCTCAAATGGTGTTGAGATTTATACCTTACTACACTCATTGCAAAGCTAAGAAAGATATTCCTTACCTAGTAATCTACACAAGACAGCATGGAAGACATTTTACATGGAGAGCAGCTGACTTTATTCAGAATATTAATGAACACTAAATTACGGGGGTAACTCAACTGAGCAAATTGATAGTGGGATCAATATTTGAGTTCGGTTAAGAAATGCCCATCAAATGCCCTTAGCATTATGTCCTCCAAAAGCACTTTATACTGATTTAAGAACTGCCTGTACATTTCCACCAATGCCCCATCTCCTCTATATTGTTCATGCCAGCATTATTTTTTAAACTTCAATTACATTTGACCCAGCCATAGTTTTTTAAATGTGCATTGTGTTTTTGTTTATATTTATGCTATTTGTGTATGAGATCTATTTTAATTGCTTTGCTTTGTATTGTGATTGTTATTACTTGTTATTGATGTATTGTGGGCTCGGCCTCATGTAAGCCTCACTGAGTCCCTTGGGGAGATGGTAGCGGAGTATAAATAAAGTATTATTATTAGTATTAGTATTTCTTTTGTTGATTTTTTCTAGTCATAATTGTGTTTTTCTAGCTAGAATTGCCTTGATTCTGCTGTTGAGATACTATAAGTAAATAATTTTGGAACTAGAGGAAGGTAAAATGACAGAAAGCTACATTACTGTTGTATTTTAATTTTTACGTTCCAGTCTTCTGGGCTAGAAGCAATTATATTCGTTTGTAGGGTTGCTTTTTCTTTTCTACCTCAGGGAGGCAACTGTACGAAGGCATATTTTTGAAGACAGCAAAAATGCTTTGCCTCAAACAATGATCTCCTCAGTGTAGATATAAGCCAGGTTTTATTTTTTGGACACAGAGAAGGTTGTGTCAGATACTGCTGATACAAAGCTACCTGAGGATAGACAGCTAGCTGGAGGCACTAATGGGAAAATATGTCCAAGAAAATGCTGAATCAGGAGACTGGCAAGTAGTGCCAAGCTGAATAAAATTCAGCAAAACTGAATGAACATGTAAGAAAGGCTTGTGAGTTTGACCTCATGACTTACAGATAAGAATATGGAGAAAATGTCTGGCACCAATTTCAGGCCCACGAAGAAGACTAAACACGAGTTGTTGTGTTAGCAGTTTGCCAAATATACCAAGTGTGAACAGCATAGAGGGTTTAGATCTCATTCCTATTAACATGAGGACTATAAATAGCCATATCTTGTTTTATATAACATAAGGAAATTGATAATCCCTAAATTTAGAGATTAGCAATAATTGTTGTGAAGGCAAATGGCACCCAAAATCAAGCCTGATATAGCACATTCCTGTGAGATCCAAATTGACTATCAAGGGGAGGCAACTATGGTATGACCAGGGACCACTTATGTTTTGTTGTTTGTCTATTGTATTCATGTAATGAATTTATACTCAGATTGGTTTACTAAATGTTCATTTGACAATCTCTTGCCCTCAGGCTTGCAATCTAAATTCCCTAGGAGCTTCTGGGGATTGCATGGACAATTGAAAAATGAAACCCAAATCCATTTTTTTCAGACCTTGCAAACCTATTGAAAATGGACGCAATTGGAGGCTTCCAGGAACAACAATTTACTCCTTTTTTTGGCCAGAAAACACAAATCAGTGAACTTTGGCAGTATCCAAGGCTACAAACACATCCTTGGGGGAGTCCACACTGCCTAACTTCTCTCAGGAAGAAAGGCAAGACAACATTCCTAGTCTGAAGCCTACATTACTAGATATGATAAGATAGGATCTTAGATTTGGATGTGATGATTATAGCGTTGCCTGCATTTTGAATCTTGTTTCATATTACAACAGGGTTTGACAAACTGCAGGTCTAGAGCTTCAGGAGTCCCACCAAGGTCGTCTCTGAGGCTCTTATCCATTTCTGATCTTCTTTTAGTCCCTCCAGAA